AAAAAAAAAAAAAAAAGCCACTTTAGCACTTACAAAGTCTTAGTTCTGGGTTGCAGAGGTGATACTCAGTCTGGTCATTGGAGCCCTGAAGACAGATGGTGGGTGTCTGCTGTGCAGAGGCAGATGTCTCACTGGAAGGCGGGAGTCCTGTGACCAAACAGCACCTGGCATGTTGTCAGACAGTAGAAGGTCTAAGCCTGCCTTGGGAAGAGGCTGCATCTGCCTGTACCTCAGTACAGAGGTACAGGAGATGACTTCCTCTGGCCCACTCTGAGTTGTGAGGAGAAAAGGCAGCATCAAGCATTTTTGATTAGCGTCCCAGGGCAAGTGGCTGTGAGGCAAGCGTGGGGTCAGGATTCCGGTTTGGTTTGCAGGACCTGGTGAAGAGGGGAGGGAGGTTTTGGGTTCTGGGGCCCTACTTCACATGGGGGCGTGGGCGGCAGCAGGTGGTGGCCTCCAGCAACCTGCCAGAGCCCTGACTTGGGTGGGAGGGGCGTCTGCAGCTGTGGTTTTCATCTCCTGGATGTTGTTTGTCTTGAAAACCCATGAAAACTAAAGAGTGACCTGTGGGGGGTGGGGTCTCAGGTTTCCCTGACTCCAGACTTCTCAGCCTGCCGAGTGTACTGGAAGACAACGCTCTCTGCTGAGCGGAACGCACACATGGAGGCTGTCCTGCAGAGAAGTGCCGCGTCCATGAGGTGACGACCTTTGCTTTCTGAATGTGCTTGCTTTCTGCTCACACCCTCAGTGTCTCAGCTGTTTCTCTTGTAGGTGGACTTTAACTTTTCATTGAGTATTTTTTCTTTTAAAGAAAATTTTGGAAGCATTTTCTTGAAGTTCATAGTATAATTTCCTTTCTCATATAAGCCGTAATGTAGGTTAGCATTTCTCAGAGTGTGCCAGGATCCCTAGGGATCTGGAGATCCTGTCAGGCAGTTCATTAGGGTGAGACGTTGTTTCACCTCTCCTGCTGTGTTGACATTTGCCCTGAGGATGCAGGAACCGTGAGGGAAGACTGCTGGTGCCATGCTGCCAGCCAGGGCTGTGGGGCGCCACGCCACAAGCCTAGAGTAAAAGACGATGTCACTTTTACTTAAGAATATCCCAGATGAGACTCGACACGGTGCCTCTCACCTGTAATCCCCGCAGCTCGGGATGCCGAGGCGGGAGGATCCCTTGAGGCCAGGAGTTCAGGACCAGTTTGGGCAAGATGGCGAGACCCCGTTCCTACAAAAAATTAAAAAGTTAACCAGGCACAGTGGCAGCACACACATGTAGTCCCACCTACTCGGGAGGCTGAGGTGGGAAGTATCCCCTGGATTCCTGTCACCCCAGGAATTTGTGCTGGCAGGAGGATCACTGGAGCCCAGGAGGTGGAGGTTGCAGTGAGCCGTGAGAAGGTACCTGCTTTCCAGCCTGGACAGTGGAGCAAGACCCTGTTTCTCAAAGAAAAATTAAAATCGGAGACAGTTTGTAAAACGTTATTAATTGTATTAAATCTTGATCCTTGAGCATGTCTTTTTAATATTTTTTGTAATAGGAAGTACATGTAAATGACTTGCTGTCTGGAGAGTGCTGAACAGAAAGCATAGTGAGCAGACCGTTCAGGTTTGGGTGTCTGTCAGACATTCTTTCAGAAATGAGTGAGTGAACCTACCACTCCAGAACCAACAACGGACCATATCTGTTGCCAGTGATAAAATTTAAGCTTTCAAGTGAAAGTCAGAATTTTAGGGAACTTGTATTCACCACTGTGAGCCTAACAACGTCTAGGTACTTGAGACTCCTCTGATGAGATTGGCAGCCACTGACCTTAACAAACATGCTGTTGTGTGATAAACCGCGTCAATGCTTTTAAAATCTGCATAACTAGGTGAATTGTTGTTTTCCAAATGACCAGTGCATGAGGTTACAAAACCGCACGCGGAGAGGTAGATTCACAGTGTGAGCCCGATGGTGAGTTTTAATGTAGCAGAGTGCGACAGGTTCGTTGGTGTGGTTTCAGATTCCTCATTGCAGCTGTTTATGTATTTATTTATTTGAGATGGAGTCTTGCTGTATTGCCCAGGCTGGAGGGCAGTGGAGTGATAGTGGCTCACTGCAACCTCTGCCTCCTGGGTTCAAGTGATTCTCATGCCTCAGCCTCCTGAGTAGCTGGGATTACAGACGCCCGCCACCACGCCCAGCTAATCTTTGTGTTTTTAGTAGAGATGAGGTTTCACTATGTTGGCCAGGCTGGAACAATTGACCTTTAATAAAGTACTTTTGTTGAATTTTTGTGACAAAGATTCATACTTTTCTCAGAGCTGGTAAATTCTCTCTTCCCAACACATATCTGGGGGGGTTTTTTTTTTTTTTTTTTTTTTTTTTTTTTTTTGCTTTTTTTGAGACAGGATCTCATTCTATCTCCAGGCTGGAGTGCAGGGGCACAGTCTTGGCTCACTGCAGCCTCAACCTCCCAGGCTCAAGTGATCTTCCTGCCTCAGCCTCCCATACAGCGGGAGCACAGGTGCGTGCCACCATGCTTGGCTCATTTTGTATTTTTTGTAGAGACGGGCTCTCCCTATGTTGCCTAGGCTGGTCTCCAACTCCTGGGCTTAAGCGATCCTCTGGCCTGAGCTTCCCAAAGTGCTGAAATTACAGGCATGAGCTACTGTGCTGGCTCTTCTTGTATTTCAGTGAGAGGAGGGACAGAGTGCAGAAGCAGCAATGAGATCCCAGCTGCCTTCCGTGAAGCTGGCCTTGGAGAATGTGCAAATATGGAAACAATGCCTGCTTCTCATTGATTTTGTGGGGGGAATATATACTTTCTGTTTTTGTTAAAAATGTCTATGTAAGCATTTAGTGGGTTTTTAAGCGACTTTAAAAGGACATAGCTTTTAGATTTCTCAGTTTTAGTTTCTAGTATAGTAAATATTGGTAGATAGAACCATAGTAAAGTAAATATTGGTAGATAGAACCCACATAAGCAAACGCTCTTTGGGATCTTCAATAATTTTTAAGACTGTAAAGGATCCTGGGACCAACAGTTTTGGGAATTGCTGAGCTGGGTGATGATAAAGAAATTATTCAGTTTCCTCCTCAGTTTAAAAAGTGCAGAAATCCAGCTCACTGACCAGCTCTCTCAGAACTGGAATTCCTCCTTTCTGCCTCCCTTCTCATCATGCCCCATGTTTAGGGTGGGGACAGACGTAGACAAGGTGGCCACGTGTGGGCTTCGTTCCAGGCGCCCTGCCTGGCTTCCCTGCATCGTTACCATGCATGATGATGCCCAGGGCTCTGTGAAACTGCATATCAGAGAACGTTCATTTCATTTCTTACTGTTTAACAAAACCAAGAAAATGGAGATTATTGACAAGTGTTGAGACAGCATTGTTTTCCGATTTTTAGGTATCAGAAAATTCAGTTGAGCTGAAGGTCGCTCTTCCCAACTCCTGTGGGTCACCCAAGATTTAGGGTCAAGGTTTTCCATAGCTGTGTACCAAAGATTTGTGGTCACGGCTTTCACTGGTTATATGTGCCGTGCCTACATTGGCCTTAGATCTGTATTATGTAATGTGCGTGATACAAATATCACTTCTGTGTCTAGTATCTGGGAACCTGAGGGTCGTGTCATGCCAGGGCGTGTCCACTGAGCGCGGGAGGACAGGCTGTTAGTGCTCAGACGCTGGAGCCCACGGCCATGGTGATGAGTTCAGATCGGGTGATTTATACGGATCTCACAGGTTGCATTGAGAAAAGTAAAGGAAATTGCAGTTAGGATGCATTTCGCATCCCTTTTGTGATGTGGTAGTTGTCTAAAGATGACTCTTCTGGGCTGATGTTTTCATTTTTGAGTAATACAATAAATCTCACTCCTGTCTCTTAGTGACATCTTGAATCTTGTGTTCAGCACTGTCACACCTCTCCACTGAGCATCACGGCACAGCTGTGAGGCTCTGTGCATTCTCTCTCCCAGGCACCTGTTGATGTCCCAGCAGACCGTGAGGAATATGCCACCTATAGTGTTTGTTAAAGACAAGAAAAGTGCAGCTCTCGCTGAGGTAAGGTTTCAAAAAAACTTTTTAAACTTTTAAAATTTTTATTTTTTTTATTGGAGACAGGGTCTTGCTGTATTGTCCAGGCTAGTCTTGAACTCCTGGCCTGAAGTGATCCTTCTGCCTCGGCCTCCCAAAGTGGTGGGAATTATAGGTGTGAGCCACCGGGCCCAGGGAATAATTAACTTTTTATAACATAAATGCTTATATGAATAAAATTTTAAATTTAAATTTTAAATCCTGAAAAGATAATGCACAGGTAAAGAAGAGAAGAGGCGGGGTGCAGTGGCTCAAGCCTGTAATCTCAGCACTTTGGGAGGCCGAGGCAGGTGGATCACGAGGTCAGGAGTTTGAGACTATCCTGGCTAATACGGCAAAACCCCGTCTCTACTAAAAATACAAAAAAATTAGCCGGTCATAGTGGTGCGTGCCTGTAGTCTCAGCCGCGCGGGAGGCCGAGGCAGAAGAATCGATTGAACTGGGGAGGCGGATGTTGCAGTGAGCTGAGATTGCACCACTGCACTCCAGCCTGGGCGACAGAGTGAGAGACTCCGTGTCAAAAAAAAAAAAAAAAGGGAAGAAACCACTGAGAAGGGAACAAATGAAAAGTCATGAAAGAAGGGTGCAAATGAAGAGGCTTTCCCTTGCTCCTGTGCCCCTGTTCCCAGCCCAGGTCCCCAGAGGTAATTGCTCTTTCTGGTTTTAATTTTTTAATGCTTATCATTGTAGCTCTAACTAGGGTATAAATTCGACACGGCCAGAGTTTCCCTCCCACACCTGTCTGTCCCTCCCACCTCTCGACATGGATCGGTCCACTCTTGTTTCACACCATCAGGGCTTATGAGACTTAGGTCTGTCCTATAACTGTAAGTGCTTTTATCATTTTCCTTGCTTTAGAGATGGGTTAGCTATGAAGATTAGAAACACGTAAATATATACTTCCCTGGGTGGTGGTTATCTGGTAGTTATTAAGGTATGTTATACCTTCAAAAACTCCATCAAAAATCAGTGAATAGCGTTTGCAGTATTATAGGTAACTGTTATTCAGTATAGGACCAGACAGTATTTGGATCCCCAGAAGAAAAAGATGCAGTTTGACATTTTTGGTTTTTGTTAATCAGTGTATAGGTAACACTAAAAACTTTGTACAAGTAATAAGCTTGACAGATATGTGATTTCCCTTGCCAGCAAAAGAAGCGAAGGAGTGAAGTTATAGTCCCTGCTGTAAGGAATCAAGGACAGTGCTGCGAGGGCATCAGCAAGGCATTCCCTGGGGAGGACGTGCCAGTCTCTCTGAGCTCAGCACCCCAGGCTCCTGTCTCTGGGAGGGAAGTCCCATCAGGTGTTGCGGGTTCACTTCCAGAATAGTCACTGGACAGGGGAGGGTGCATGCTGTGCTTGGAGCAGGATGAGGACACCCCCGGAGGCAGGGGACAGGCAGGCCAGGGTTCGGGTGGAATACAGTGTCCAGCAGGGCTTGTGGGCCATTGCCATGGTGTGGATGGATCCCATGAGCCTGGCTGAGGAGCAGTTTTCTCTTGTAGTTTAGGCTCCTGGCTTCGTGACTGTCCCCATCATCTTTTACCTTGTCTTGCTTGGAGGCTTTTTTCCCCCCAAGCACACAAATTCTGTGGCAAAACTGAAACATTTTGCAAAACTACCTTGGAAACCAGATAATGGTTAGTTATTTAATTCAACTAATGCTTAACTGGTTTCTTCATAAATTTGACTAACATTTACAAGTCTAAAATGTAGTTTTTAAAAAGCCTCACTTTGTTATCAGAGAAAATGCGTTATGTAAAAGTAACAGTAAGGTATTTGAAAGCACGGGCTACTGAACAGATCCTAGTATTTGGGAAGAGTCGATAGAAGAAATTGTGCAAAGTCTGATCAAAAGCTCTGCAGTTAACAACACTGGTGTTACATGGAGCCCAGCTGTAAGTATGGCGGTGGGGATGTGGCTAACTGGTTTACCCTCTGTGTTCCTCTGTAGCTTGACAAGTTACTGGCAGTCGCTGACTTTGGACCCCGGGATGAAAGAGACGACTTTGTACAAAATGATTTCAGGTGATGCATGTGGACATATGTTTTGATTCCCTGGGGTGGATTCCTGGGTGTGGAATTGCCGTTTCCACAGCAGCTGCACAGCTCCACATCCCTAGTAGCCTGCATGGACCCTGTGGCACTTGCCCCCAGGGCTGGCAGCCCATATTCATAGACCTGTGCTGTGGCCTGGCCACGTTTACACAGTGGGGGCCTCAGGGGCTACCAGAGGTGTCTGCTATAACTCCTTCAGTGAGGAGAGGGCCTCTTGTCCTCTTCATTCATTCAACATGTTGTTACTGAGTGCCCCCTGTATGCCAAGCCCTGGTCTAGCTTTTAGGATGCAGCTGTCTTTGGAACCTGCCTTTCACTAGGGGAAGCTGACGGGAAGCAGTAAACATCATAGATGGGTCAGTCGTGTGTGAGGAGGGAGATAGAGGGAGGTGGGGCTTGGGAGAGCAGGTTGGGGGCACAGAAGTTTGGCCTGTGCATGTGCACACACATATACATCTTTTCCAAACTTGTGGTGCCTGACAGAGCCTGCGGGTACTGGGGTGTTTGTGGAGGGCCCCATTGCAAGCATGCAGCTGCCAGAGCAGGCCTTGCCTGTGGGCCTTAGACAGCAGCGTCAACATCGCCTGGGCACCTGCCAGAGTTAGGTTTAACCAGCCTGCCAGGTGCATCCCTGAGCTGGAAGCAAAGCTCCATGCTGTAGCGGGCCTGGCCTGATTGGGTCAGCAAGGGGCAGTGTGGGGGTGGCAGGTCAGGGAGCTGAGCCCAGGGTTTGGAGACTTTCCAGAGTGGAGCCTTGGGTGATACAGGGGCCGTGACATGGCCTTGATTAGGTGCTGTTCACCAAGAATAGACTCTTCATGAAGGCTAATAAGTGGCAGATCTGATAGACCTCACCTGTAATTCTACTAGTTTTAACTGGCCCGAGGCCCTGGCCATGCTTAGAGAAAACAGTTGCAAATGCATTTTTTTTTTCTGGAGACAGAGTCTCAGTCTGTTGCCCAGGCTGGAGTACAGTGGCGTGATCTTGGCTCACTGCAACCTCTGCCTCTTGGGTTCAGGCGATTCTGCTGCCTCAGCCTCCCGAATAGCTGGGATTACAGGTGCCTGCTACCACGCCCAGCTAATTTTTGTATTTTTAGTGAAGACGGGGTTTCACCATGTTGGCCAGGCGGGTCTTGAACTCCTGACCTCGTGATCCGCCCACCTCAGCCTCCCAAAGTGCTGGGATTACAGATGTGAGCCACCGTGCCTGGCGCAAATGCATTTATTGCATACAGGATGGTGCATCTAGACTGTGCTGGCCAAATACTTCTGATGCTGGAGAACGCTGAAACCACAGCCCACCTTCCTTCACTCCTGTCTCCAGTTACCCTCAGACGGACGTTGGGAGGGTTCTCAGGCGAGCAGACGTAGGAAGTGTGATGTGCTGTTGTGTTGTGGCGATGACACTGTGGATTGGGGGCTCCCTTTGTGCTTGGTGTGAAGGCTCCTCTTCTCCCTTCCCAGGGACGCCGATGCCCCGCAATCCTGTGGCACCACAGAGCCGGCCCCCAGTGTATGTGGTATCAATCATGAGGCGCTCAACAAGCAGATTATGGAGTACAAAAGGAGGAAAGATAAAGGGCTCGGGGGCCTGGTGTGGCAGGGGCAGGCGGCTGAGCTGACAACGCAGATGAAAAAGGGAAGGAAGAGGGCCAGGCCCCGCCTGGAGCAGGACAGCTCTCTCAAGAGTTACCTGTCGGGCGAGGAGGTGGAAGATGACCCGGACCTCGCTGATGCCCCGGAGTACGAATGCTACGCCCTGGACACAGAGGAGTTGGAGGCAGAGAAAGGAGGTGGCACAACGCAGGATGGCCGCGGCTGCAATGCCAGCAGGGAGTAGATGGAGAGGCGTCAGCTCTGCCCGTCCCACGTTCACAGGGAAAAGCATTGGCACATGACGCAGCATGTGGCTTTGTTGAGGCAGTTGATGGAGTTAAAACCATCTGCTCTTCTGTTACGTCGACGTTTTCTAGCCTTTCCCTGTATCTAAACACAGTTTGCTACAGAAGTCTCTGTTGTTTTTTTCCATACACCGTGTGTAATGTAAAAAATAAATGGCCATCTTACCACAGATTCTCACAAAAAGAAAATGGTAAAATAGTGTCTCTGAGATGCTGGCGTGGCCGCCTCCACCTGCAGAGCCCTGCCAGGTGCCAGTGAGTGCTTGGCCCGAGGGGTCAGGCCACAGCAGTGGCCGGGGTGAGAACTGAACCTGCAAACCTGGAGAGAGCAGAGGGTCCCCAGGGCCTCCCAACCCCCTGGCGCTGCTGAGTAGGCACTTGGACTTTGTCCACGACTGGCCTCTTTAGCACGGCTTTGTGCAGCGGGTTCCACCTTCTGGTTCAGGCCAAGGTTGGGCAGAAAGTGAGTTGGTGGGTTTACTGGGGCTTCCTGGGTGGCCCTGGCTCTGGCCGTGGTTCCATCGCACCTCCTGGGTGGCCCTGGCTCTGGCCGTGGTTCCATCGCACCT